CCTACAATGGGAGAATCCTATTAAATACTAATTTCTATATATATATATATATATATTAAGGGGTTTGGCTTTGGTCCAGTCCAAGATCGGACTAGACCGTGTTGTTAGGCCCGTGAGGGCCTACCACGGGTCTCAATTTTTTATAATGGACAATTTCAACCACACCAGATATGCATAATCATCTGTAAATTATTAGTATCCGACTATTTTTGCATCTTGGGAAGACAGTATTCCACTATCTCTTGACTTGATTCATAAAGACACAATGCAAGCATAATTTCATCATTTAATTCTAAATTAAAGATTGTTAAATATTATCACCTGTTACCATTTTGTCTATCCCTACACATTATAAATTATAATTTGTCTCAATTTATTTAAATATTTCTTCAAGAAACAGAAAGATTGAAGTTTTACAATATTTGGATGCTCTTTAAGTGATTAGATTTAACAAGATAAAAATTACTTACATTCCTCAATTAAATTGTGTACATAGAGTAAGAAATAATAATTCATATATTCACTATACATAAATGCCTTTAAAATTTTAAAAAAAAATTTAAAAAATCTGTTAGGTTTTATTCTTGGCAACCCCGTTTGACAAAACTCCTTTCAGTTGTATTTATTTTCACACTTTTTATTTCAGTGAGGCTTTGAGTGTTTAGATGCGAATCCAACCCGAATTGTGCCTTTCAGAGAAGTTTGTGATGCTAATGCTTTCAAGATTGCCACTTCGCTGATTATGACGGGATCGAGCTGCCAAGTTGCCTGTCCACTCGAGCGGACACTTCCCTACTCGAGCGGAGAATCCCTGGTTCCAGCAGTTTTGGTCGCCTGTAAAAGTACTGAGATGTGTAATTTTACGCTCAAGCGGGTTCTCTAGCGCTCGAGCGGACCTCTGTTATATCACGCGCATATTTTGCTGAAAATGCTCGAGCGGGATGTTGGGTGCTCGAGCTGACCGCGCGAACACAGTTTTTCGGATTTCAATAAGGATTGGGTTTTCTTCCAAATCTAGGATTACTTTTGGTTTTCTATAAATAGTTGGTTTTCTCCCAAAACTAGACTACTCCTCAAGTCCTCCAGATCTTCTTTTTGGATTCTAAGGTTTATATCTGGAGAAATTTTGTTAGTTTTCTTTGATGTTTTATTGAGTATTCAACTCATGGTTTAAAGAGAGTACATCAAAGGTTGTGTTTTGTTCTACAAAAAGAGAGAGTTGTTCTTCAGTGGATTCTGAAGAATTCGAGCCTGAAGCTTTGATGGATTCCGGGGTGGCTCATCGTAAAGACAATTCCGAGGTGAAGACGGGTTGGAAGAGGCACATAGAGGTTGGTTTAATTAGGCGTGGATTCACTAGGTAATTAAGAGTATACCTGTGTAATTCCTTTAAATTTTCTTAGTGGATTTTTTTTGTGGCTGTTGCCCGTGGTTTTTTTTATCACAGTTGGAGGTGTCCAATTGTGGTTTTTCCATGTAAAATCATTGTCTCTTTGTCTTGATTGTTTGATTGGTATTGTTATATTTTGCTTAAAATTGATACATAATCACAAATCAACATCTAGGAGGTTTCTAGATTTTTCAATTGGTATCAAAGCGGGTCGTTCTATTTTTTTTAAAAATTCTTTTAGAACGAGATCTTGTTTGATTTGTGATAATGGATACAATTCGTGACATTTAACTTCTTCCAATTCCGATAAGGTATAATGGCCCTTACTATTCTTGACCTAAGCCATCTTCTTGGCATAATGTCTACTGGGGAATTTTTCAGTCCAAATTATCAAGGCAGAGTCATCCTTGGGCTCTAAAACCCTACTAGGAACCTATCTTACTCACACTTCCTCAGTAGAAAGAACAAAGGAACTAGTCCAATTAGTGACCAAGAACTTTTTTATTTCCTCATTTTTCTGGTTGTGAAAATTTGTAATGTGCACACCTTCACAAAAAAGAAAGAAAAAATGTGCAAAAGAAAGAAAAAAAAGAAGAAAAGATTCATTGATTGAGGGGGAGCCTCCGCCTTTACTCACCAAATACCCCTTGATTCCTAGTGGTTTGACTTTCCTTTGTTGTGCTTAGATTCTCTTGTCGGAGGTCCAACTTTCAGATCACTACTAGGATTGAATCTAGTGTTTATCGAACTCCAAGAGTCACACACACACTTTTATCATGGGATCTATGCTTTTCATATAATGCATCACTTTCTTCATGAGGAATTTTCTACAGACAAATCTCCAAACTTATGAGGCACACAAGAATTTCAAACAGAAACAAAAAGATATTGCTTTTAGTAGTGCTCATAGAGTTGGAGAGGATTCTAATGAGGATTATGAGATAGATTCCAAGATTACGGCTGCTTTTGTTAAACAATTTAAAAAATCTTTTTTGAAAAAGAATCCTAATCTTTTGGAGTCTATTCATTCTCATAAATCTAAAGGCAAAGATAAACTCAAAATTAATTCCATAGCCAAGAAGGAGAAAGGAAAGATACAAGGGAACTCTGAAAGACTTCAATGCTATGAATGCCAAGGATTTGGCCACTTTGCTCAAGAATGCCCCACTCGGTTGAAGAAGAAGAAAGCCCTCGCCATCACTTGGGATGATGAATCAGAATCTGATGAAGATGAAGATGAAAGTGACAACGAAGATCAAAGCGAAGAGGGACATAAATAATTCCTTGCTTTCATGGCGGCTTCCGAAACTGAAGGACAAACAGATTCTTCGAAGAGGTCAGTTGAGAATACCACTGATGATGAATCCTCGGAGAGTGATCATGAAGAGCTTGAGCAAGCTTATGAAAAATTGTATAAGGAATCTCTTAACTTATTCAAATTAAATGACAAACTCACAAAGAAACTCAAAGCATGTGACAATGAGAATGTCAAACTTAAGGAGGAGATTTCCGAGGCCAGGATTGATGCCATCAAGGTAGCTGATGATCGACAAGTTCTTTTTGCAAAACTGTTGACTTGTGAGACAGAAAGGAATGAGCTACTGCATACCTATGCCATGTATGAAGAAAAAATTGAATCTCTCGAAATGTCACAAGTTGCTTTGGAAGAACTAATGATCAAGAAAGAGGAAGAGCTCAAGTGTGCTATGGCTACCATTGGTCTTTGGAACAAAGGATCAAAGACTTCGGAGGATATCATTGGGTCTCAACAAATGAGTTGTGACAAGAGTGGCATTGGCTTTGGTGATAAAAAAGAGCAAAAACAGAGTGCTTCCACATCTCATGATACAAGAACTCAAGGAAAGGGAGAACAAAAATTTCAACATAAGGATGGACTTCTCAAACTTCCTAGAGTTGGTAAGGTAAAAGAAAAGAAGGTACACCCTGGACACCCTGCTTTTATTTGTCATCATTGTGGTATACATGGTCATATTCGCCCTTACTATTATAAGTTGCATGGGAGAATGTCTCAAAAGGGTAGAAATTCGAATACATTTTGGGTTAGGAGACAACCTTACATGTCCAGGCAGAATACCAAGATTCATGAGGGTGTTCACAATGCCACGACATTTACCAAGACCGCTAGACCTAATTTTGTTAAGATCAAAAAGATTTGGGTGAGAAAACTTGACTTGTGTTAATTTTTTTATTTGGTTTAGTTTTTGGGTTTCTGTGTGTTTTTTTTGTGAGAAAAAAAAAATGTGTGCATGCTCGGTTTTTGTCTTGCTTTGGTTAAGAAAAAAAATGAAAAAAAAAATAAATATTTGGTTTTGCAAGCTTGAAATTTTTGAGTGGTCCTTGGTGCATAGAATATCCATTACATGTTAATCTATGTGTGCTTTCTGTGGTCATTACTCGTTTTGGAGTGTGTGTTTTTTGATTAGTATGTCTCATTCTGTACACACTCTTGGATTAGCAAATTTTGGAGTCTTCTGCCTTAGTGATTATTTTTTCTCTATGGACTTCTGTCATTGATCTTTTGCGTTTCTAGAGGAATTGACCTATACTAGCATATCATTGGTGATGTTAAGTCTCTTAACCACCTACCATCTTTTTGCATCTCCATGGCTTTCCCCTCTATTCTTTGTAGTCCAACCATGAGGAAAAGGCTACCTCAAAGTCACCAACCAGGCCATCCTTAGTATTTCCATGCTTCTCTGGTTTGGTTTCCATACTCTTGAGTGTGTTAGCCGCCAATGATTGTGCAAAACAAAAAGTAAAAAGAAAAAGGAAAAGAAAAAGAAAAAATATGCAAAAGAAAGAAAAAAATGTGCAAAAGAAAGAAAAGAAAAAGTGTGTGAAAAAAAAAAAAAAAATATTCATTGATTGAGGGGGAGCCTCCGCCTTTACTCACCAAATACCCCTTGATTCCTAGTGGTTTGACTTTCCTTTGTTGTGCTTAGATTCTCTTGTCGGAGGTCCAGCTTTCATATCACTACTAGGATTGAATCTACTGTTTGTCGAACTTCAAGAGTGTCACACACACTTTTATCATGGGATCTATGCTTTTCACATAATGCATCACTTTCTTTTATGAGGAATCTTCTAGAGGCTGTGCACATTGTGTTTTCTTGTAATGGTGCTTCTTGGATAATCTTATGTGTTTTAAGATACTAATCTGAAATTCCTTGCTTGCTCTACCATAATTTTTGTCGTTTTCTTCTTGTTCACTGTTTTCAGTGTTTGTAGTTGCTTTTAGTGAGGGGGAGTTTGGTTCATCTTGATTTGGGTTGGTAAGGGAGTTTGGTTTATCATTGCAAGAGTTTGTTAGCATGAACAATTTGATATGTTTGGTAAGGAAGATTGGCTATATGTTTTGCATGTTATTATGCACTGTTTGCCCTTCTTGTATGTTCCTGATATTTACATCATCATATCATTGCTTGTGTGGTTTATGATCTTGCTTTTGTTGTTTGAGAGTTGTTTTTCATGAGTCTTAGTTTTCATCTATTCATGTTTTCCATCTCATATTTCAAGATAATCGTGTCATATGTCTATTGCTTGTTCATATACTCTTGTGGGACTAATAGTTGTTTTGGAGATTGTGGCACTAATAACAGTGTTCTGGTTCAGAAAACAGAGAGCCCAATCTCGTACTTCTCTAACAAAATCTTCTTCGTTTATGTATGTATATATTTCATTATTGATGATTTGGTTTCTCTATGATTTACAGTCTCAAATTCAAACAGCTGTGCTTTGATCCCAAATATGATTTATCTTTTTGATTTTGAGCTTCAATTGAGAAATTTATATCCTTTTCTTTTACCTTTTTCATTGCAGGAGTGAGTGATTCTGTTATCCAGTGCTGATGATGACGATGGCAGCTAAATGTGATTCTTCCACAACATTTCCATTATTTGCTTTCCGAAAGTTCATCACTCCGAGGTAATTCATTTTCTTTTCTTCAATTGAATTCTCATGTCATGTTGTTGGTTTTGAGGTTTCTTCTTTGTGTGTGTGTGTGTGTTTTTTTTTTGCCTAACTGATGACAACCACAGTGTATATTTGATCTCCTATTCAAGTAGGGGATGGTGCTTCTCTTGTTGCCTAAATAGATGTTTAATCATAAATGTGGTCATGTTTATAAATTACAAGAAGCACTTTCCCTGGAGAGCATTATTATAGACTTTTTAATTTTTAATTAGTAGGCTTTGTTTGGTATTCTTTTGGCTTTGCGGCCAACTGCCCTGCAAAAATAAAATAAAATAAAATAAAATACTTTCATTTCTTTTATTTTATTTACTCTATCCGACCTTATCTTTTTTTTTTTTCTTTTTTCATCCAAATATAATAGTATTATTTGAGAAGTTAACTATTTTAGTAGGCTAAAATATTTGTATTTGGGAAGAGGATTAGATTTTTTTATAATTGAATGTAATGTTTGTGAGGGAAAAATTGAAATGATTATGAATTTGATGTGACATTTATCTTATTAGCTATTTTAATCTATTTTATCTTTGAATGAATTACAATAAAAGTCCCTATAGGTTGAGATTTGTGTCATTTTGGTCCCTGACTTTTCAATTGTGATACATTTGATCATAAATTTTGAATCTCGTTTCAAATAAGGACAATTGAAGAAATTATTGCTATATTTGAAGGGCAAAATCGTCATACAATTTATTTTGTATTGGTTAACTTATATTGTTTGAAATATAATGGCATTTTATTTAATGAATAATGTTGAAACTTTTTTGGTTATAAAGTTCCATTTTATTTGATTTTCAAAATCTATTTTTAATTTTTTTTTTCTAAGAAACTAAAAATTAAATTGGTGAAAAACAATACATAATTTTTATATGATTTTATCTTCTGATAGGGTAAAAATATATATTTTTTGATATTTATTTTTGTTAAATTAGTTTTTATTTTTCAAAAGTAAAACATGGTAACAATTTTGATGTCATTATTAAACCAATCTATTTAATCAAAAAAATTCAAAACTAAAAATATTTCATATATTAAACGTATTGATTATACATTAAAAGCCTAATAACCATCAATTATATGATAACTATAAAAAAAAATATTTGTTAACAACAAATACAATAATTTATTACATAATAACCATTTAAAAATATCAACAAAAATAACCACCTATTACATGATCATCCAAGCATATACTAAAAATTAATTTGATAAAAAAATAAAAATGTAAAAGATTTATCATTTTTATATAATTTTATCTTTAGTGAGTATAAATAATTTTTAAAAATTTAAAAATATTTTTTTGACATTTATTTTTGTCAAATTAATTTATATTTTATCAAATTGACGATTTTACCCTTAAAATTGAGCAATGGTATATTCAATTTCCTTAGTTAGATTTGGATTCAAAATTCATGGTCGAATTTGTTACAATTAAAAAGTGAAACACCCAAACTATAGGGACTGTTGATGTAATTCATTCTATTTGTTTTGTAATAGAACAAAAAATTAAAATATCTAACCGAATCTAATTTAAATTATAAAAATTAAAATTAAATAATAAAATCTGAGTCTCGTAAAATAATTATTTTAATTTTATATTACAATCTGTCTAATCAAATGGCTGTTAAGCTATAGTATTGCATTCGTCGTTAAATTCCAAAGGAGTTGATTGTTCATCAAGGACAGCAAATTAGACTTTCTACGCCTACGTGCTTGAAATAAGTTGACAAAGCAAGCATGGCATACGTATCTATATCTCAGTATAATATAGGGGGAGTTATCGATAAATTCTATAGGCTAGAAGTATGTTTTAATTAGTCTTATAATTTTTTCTTATTTATTTAATCTTTTTAGATGTGTAATAATTCATTTGTCATTTTAATCTCCTTAATTGTTATTGTTTGTTAGAGTATTAAGTTTGGAATGTTACGTTTGAGAAATGTACATTAAAGAGTTTTTTAGTATATTACAATAGAATGTTACGTTTGAAATTGTATTGAACTGTTACATTTAGAAAAAGTATACTAAATTTTTTTTTTAAAGTGTCACGTTACAGAAACGTGATCCAAAAATTAGATCCAACTTCTCTAAGATGATGTCCCCCTATGAGAAAGGGTAGAAACGTCTGTCAAATCATACCAAAGTTCAAAATAGGATCTCACAATATAGTTATCAAAATAAACAGTACCTATCAGTGTATTAGAAAATCTATGGGATTGATTAAAGTAACGGATCCCCATATGGGACTTTTTGACCATTTTCCCTATAATATATAATTAAGAGTGATTGAGAATCTCACCATCTAGGAGGTTACAGCTCGTTCTAGCTCCAAACTCTTCTTTATTGATGTTTTCCATTGTACTATGTACGTGCTTCATCAATAAAGTTTTCTTTGCCGATCAAAAAAAAGAAAAAAAAAAGAAGAGTGATTGAGAAATCGTCTACTATTTTCAATACAAGGCTTATAATTAATGTCTTTTTACCCAGCCTTCTCTTCGGTTAGCTTATTGTCTAACTCCACCATGAATGGTTCTTCAACTGCACCATTCATTTTTTATTAGACAAATTATAATAATTTTTGAGCTTGCAAATAGCTAACAATATAACGTTAGGGTGGTACGAGTCTCTCCATTAATAATCAATTTGGTAGGAGTCTCTCCATTAATAATCAATTAGTTTTGAGTTAAGTATTTTAATAAGGCCCAAATCCATAGACTTTCACCGATTAATAAAAGGTTACATTTGAGCTATCCTATCACGTATTTTTAAAACCTAGAATCTATTCACGTGCTTAAAAATACGGGCTTAATGGGTCTTCGGTAAGCTTGGTTCATATGGGCCTAATTTCAAGTAAATTTTAACTTTCATTCCGACCTTTTTTTTTTAAAAAAAAATAATAATTTCAAAATCACTAAAAAAATAAAAAACTTCTAATAAATTTTTTTGAAGTGCATCACAACAATTGTAATCACTTTTGAAATCATTAAAAAAATAAAAATAAAAAACTTTTTTTTTATCGAAATACAAAATTACATCTATTATGCTTTTGTTATTGAATTGTATATAAATAGTTAATCTCATAGAAATTTATTAGTTACTAGTTTCATAGATGGCGTGCTACTCACTTGGTTTTTATTTTCAAAATTATTATTTTTTATACGTTCTTAACCATAGAAAGAAAATATTAAAATAAAATAAAATAAAGTGAATATAAATTAATTATGGGACACTTATCAGTAAGTCTTATACATAAAGTTCAAAATTTATTTAGTCCCAAAACAAAATGCTTGAACCAATTAGTCCTACATATTTTTAATTATTACCAAAAAAATTAATTTTATTTTTTTTTATAAATTTAAAAAATCTGCTACATCCCACTACTATTGGACCTTTGTCACATGGTCACCAATGACTCGTCGGAATATTCAACATCATCGGTAAGTCACAACCGGAAGTTCACCGAAATATCGCCGGAATGTTTTGAATGTCACTAAAAGTCACTGAAATATGCAGAATGCTCGTTGGGGGTCAAGAACATTGTTGGAGACTAACTGAAATGTCTAGAATATTGTGGAAAAGAAAAAAAAGAATAAATGGATAAATTATAGTAAAAAAAAACATTGCAAAATGTGCTAAATATTGATACACTGAAAGAAAGAAAAAACATAACAACAACAAACAACAACAATGAGAAAAAACATATATTATTTTTCAATATTTGTAGGGATTAAGCAAATAATTTACAATATTGATCAAACTCAAAAGCAAGCTTTAAACTGTAAAATGTTACAGTTTCAGAGTATAATTCTATTGAGCATTTATCCTTATTAAAAAGAATGCTATAAAACTGTAAAATTTTACAATTCAAAAGAATGTTATGAAACTGCAAAATTTTACAGTTTTAAAACATGATTCATTTCAGCAGAAAAAAACTGAAACTATAAAATTTTACATTTTTTACTGCCTGTAAATAAAACTTGAAAACAACTTATTTAGAATTTGAAAATTTTCTCCATTGAAACAAAAAAATAAAAATGTGTAGCAGAGAAAAGTTTGAAAAATCTAGAGATTGCTTGAGAGAAACAGATATAGAGAGAAGCTTGTAATCCGACAACAATTTTTGGTTTAGATCTTGTCGGATCTCATATAGATCTACTCAGATCTGATGTAGATCTATGTAGATCTACATCAGATCTGACTAAATCTATTCAACTTCTTCGCCGAAGTTGATGGTTGGTGGTTATCGGTGAACCCCAATCACTGGTGGTCGTCGGTGACTATATATTAGAAAGAGAAAAGGAAAAAGAAAGACATGGTTGTCGAAAATCAGGGGAAAAAAAAAATAGGCAGAGAAGAACAAATGTTCAAAAAAGAACAAAAAAGAAAAATACGTAGTGAACTTTTGAGAATATTTAAAAGGTTGTAGGACTAAATAGACTTCTTCTGTTTTATACTAAGAGTCCCTATAGTTTAGGACTCATGTCACTTTGGTCCTTGACTTCTTACTTGTGACACATTTGACCCTAAATTTTGAATCTTGTTCCAAATAAGGACAATTGAAGATACCATTGCTTAATTTCAAGGGCAAAATCGTCAATTTAATAAAATATAAACTAATTTAACAAAAATAAATGTCAAAAAAATATTTTTAAATTTTTAAAAATTATTTCTACCCACTAAAAATAATATTATGTAAAATTGATAAATCTTTTATAAATTTTTTTTACCAAATTAATTTTTATTTTGTATTTGGATGATGATCATGTAATGGATGGTTGTTAGGATTTTAATGTGTAATCGATATATTTAATATATGAAATGTTTTTAGTTTGGAAGTTTTTGATTTAATGCATTGGTTTACTAATGATATCAAAATTATCGCCATATTTGACTTTTGAAAAAATAGAAACTAATTTAATGAAAATAAAAACAACCACTCATTAAATGATCATCATC